CTCTCTCGTTTGCGCTCCCTCATTTTTTGTTTGTGATTCAGACACAAACGTCCCAAGTAGGCGGGACTTTCAGGGGTGCGTCCCGATTGGCTACTCAGTTTTTAAGTGACAGCCCAGACCTCCAGCGATTGTACAGTGCAGCTGCGGTGCGGTAGCTGAGCGTGGATAGATCCCCCCCAGAAGAACCAGCATTTCAATTATTATAATACTACAAGTGAAAATATATGTAAGTATTGATCATTTGTGGTGTTTGTGCTGTACTATACGGTCTGTTTCTTTATTGTGTAAAGTGAGAAGTAAAGAAAAGCTGTGCTATGAAAGTTAGCTAACTTTAGATCCATAACAATGCCAGCTAAGTAGCCTAACAGCAGGGACAGTTGGCTACTTAGCTAGCAGTGAGAGAGCATTCAGACACCGGCACACACTCAAACAGACTCGTGTGCCTGACTCTGCCAACATGCTTTCATGATTCTGTTTAGATATGAAAGTATAAGCCATGATAGCTTATTTTATTAACACGTTAATTTGATATGAAAATCAATGGAGGCTGAGTTTACTTCTCTTTGTAGCAAAACCTCCCATCCATGACTGCCCCTGAGCTGTGTTTTATTTGTTAACTTCATATTTATCATTTCCTAAAACATTTATTTTCCTCTCATATTAACAGTGAGGATCATTGAGACAGCGTGGTGTCCAGAAGTCTTATCCCGTTTTCCCACTTCCTCTGAGGGGACAGCACGGAGGGGGGGCATGAAGAAAGACCTGCACCATCTTCATCCACGCTAGGCGTAGCTCTTATCACTGGCTCAATGTCTTTACATATACATTCAATAGATTTTTATTATTATCCACCTTTTTGTTTTATGTCCTTTTATTTAAAACATTCTTTGAGACTTCATCTTCTGATTCAAATTTCAATAAATGTAATTTGTATAATCACTCTTTTGTCTTTATTCTACATGAAAATGTTAGAGATTCAATTCAAATCTGTTGATTATTCAGATCTTCCTCAGGAATAGTATGTCAATTTTGTTATGCTAAATGTATATCATTTTCTCACAGGATATAGAAGAGACAACACAGTTTGTATCAATTGTGTATGAATAAACGCTTCAGCTCTTCATACCAACATAGCCTGATGTGAGCATGTTCCTAATTGTGTTGGTATGGAAAGGTCTGGTCTGTTTAATAAGGCAAATCTGCCACTTCCTTACAGAGCCCCTTCTCCAACACACACGAACATGCACATGACCAATGGGGGCACGAGATAAGTTTGTGCACAGATGGAAGGCTGACAGGCAGGTAGGCCATCCAGTTACTTTAGCCGGCCCGGCTAAAATGATTGGTCGTGCTTTTTACAGTACTACGGCTTCCACAGATGACATTTTTTTATGGATTTTTTGTCAAAGCACTTAAGATATTCATTGCTATCGGGACGTTAAGAGCATTCCATGGAATATAACAAAAAGTGTATCTCGAGCCGGTTTCTCAAACTTACCTACCCCACCTTTAATTGTTTGTCCTAAATATAGCAATATATGCTTTTGAAATGTAACATGTCTTTGAATAAATAAGTTTATATTGTGTATCAAGTTTATATTGTGTCACCTTTAGCTTGAAAATACATAGATGTGTTTTTTTTATCTATAGAATAAATAAATAGACAGACAGACACTTTATCGATCCCAAATTGGGAAATTATTTTACAGCAGCAGTGTGTTCAGGTATTAAAATATTTAAAGTTGGAATGAAGTATAAACTACACAACACAAGTATAATGCACAGCAATCCATAAGATAAGTCCGATATTTTCATGAAAACTCCCCAGGAGGCACCAACACTAACATGGCCGAGTTGACTCGAGTTTGCTGCATGAGTTGCACTGTATGATCTGTGGTGTAGTGGGCTGTCACTCAAAAACTGAGTAGCCAATGGGGACGCACCCCTGAAAGTCCCGCCTACCTGGGACGTGTCAGAATCGCAAACAAAAAATGAGGGAGCGCAAACGAGAGAGCTGCAGCGAGAGCAAAAGTCTGATCATTGAGAAAGAAGCAAAGAGAACTGCAAACAAAAATACATGTTAAAACAAAGAAAAAATACTTATAGTTTACATGATTACACAAATGATTTGTTTGCAACTTATAGTTTTATTTTTTTAATTACATTTATTTTGCTTTTTTTTCTCTAAAACTCTTAGTTTTGCTTGATTCTGAGAAAGTGTTCCTTTATCTTTATGAAACAAAACTAATCCCATAGTTTGTAGCTTTGCTGTCTGTTTACATTTCATTATTGGTAGTATGCTAAAGTGATTCTAATACGGATAGAGCCTAAATGTATTTGTTATTTTTGTGTCTTTATAGCTTACGTTGATATTGGAGATTTCAATAAATTCATATCATCAGTCAAGTCTTCAACCATTATTCGGAGGGAAATGCCCCCTGGAAAAATATGGCCCACCCTATTTTATACAGGCCCGCCCTAAAGTACATTTCTGCCTACGCTACTGATTCACACTTGTATTTCCGGATCCACACCTGTGTTTTTCAATGCACACACAAATGTGTTCCTTTTCATATACATTATATATGTATTTTTGATCCACACATATTTGTTTTCCGTTTAAAACCGGTGCAAACACAACCCGCTTTCTGTGCATGGATCGCTGTGCATTCATGTGTGGATTTTTTGAGACTCCCCTGACGGTCACCCGATTCGTCCATCTCAGGACACCTCCACTCTCAGTACATTGTCACTTTCCGAACAGGAAATGCACGCAAATACAATCTTTTATATTATTAAGGTACAGCGCCACTTTCCGAACCATGCTTGTGTACACAAAAACGGCAGGCAAAACCGTTTTAAATGTGTGTTTCCTGTATGGCGAATAGAGCTGCTTTATTTATGTCTGTATGAATTTGTTGTGAGTGTGGAGGGAGCAGCTACAGGTTAGCTCAGCCTAATCGATTAGTGGCCTGTACTACGAAGCCAGTTCAACAGACCCTGGATATCTCTGAGTTATCTGGCTTAACTAACCCTAACAAGCCGTCCTACGACGCTGGTTATCAACTCACTAAATCAACCCAGGGTTTCTCTGTCCGGCCGAGAGTGCGTTCACATGAAAGGGGCGGGGTTAGCAACATTTGACCAATCACAAACAGGGACAAGCGTACTGACAGCGCAGAGGCATACTTCATGAATGAAAAGTAAACTATAATATTAGAGAAATATGAAGAAGTTAAACTTTAAACATCCATTACTTAAACACTTAATCCAGGGGCGGACTGGCCATCTGTGTGTTCTGGAGAATCACAGAACGGCCGGTCGTCAGCGGGCCGCTGTCGGCCGGTGTTGTGTCAAATGATGCACCCCCGTCGTGAAACGCACCTCCTGGCCTGCCGCAAAAAGCACCCCCCCAAAAAAGATGCTTCTATTAATCCCACCCTCAAGCACTTGATGTAAAAATAAACAATACATTGTAAAGCACAAGTGCAAGCACAAGTATTCAGACAGGACGTCACAATTAAATAAAAACATATATTAAATACAAAATTAACTGAAAAATAAGTGACGAATGAATGCAAAATCCAGGATACGACAACCCAACCATTAAAAATAGAATAGAATAGCGGACTATACGTTCAAATTGTAATCCCTGTAATTTTTGCTGTATGATGTCCTTTTGTTGTTCTGTTGTTTATGTTTTCATGTCTTCATGTGGAACCTACTGCTGCAGGTCTCCCTTGAAAAAGAGATCAATGATCTCAATGGGATTTCACCTGGATAAATAAAGGTTTTGAATTTGAATTTGAAATGCGCGTTCCCGTGTCAAGGGGTGAATTTCACGACGGGGGTGCATAATTTGACACAACACCGGCACCGCCCTTTATTTTAGGGCACGTGTGCACGGCCAGATAAGGCTTGAGAAGCTGACTCAGATGAATGAGACGAGTAAACACAGCTGACAGCAGCCGTGAAACTCGAGCGATTATTCGCATCGCGTCCGTCGTGAACGCACCATTATTACAAGCATTATATAATTACAAAATAAAATCGCCACTCTCAGTACAGCGCCACTTTCCGAACAGGAAATGCACGCAAATACAATATTTTATATTATTATTATTATTATTATTATTATTATTAATAATATATATATAAATAAAGACATCTTGTATTTTAGTTACACCCGCTATTGATTAATTCTGTCAACATTGGACCTTGACACCGTCCACATAGCTATTGTGAAATATTATAATAGAAAACATTAAGCCTCTTTGATTTAATAATCGGAGCTGAATCCTCTCTGCCATCTCATATAACACACACTTCCTTATTTATCTTTGAATAATAATAACATAAAAATAAAGACGACTACACTACGGTGCTTCGGTCCTGAGAGTAGCGCCTGCAGGCAGGCTCCATGGACCTGTCAGCATGGACAGCGCAAAAAGCGTATATGAAGTGCTACGTCACGAACGCAAGAAATCATACCCTCGTGGGGGCGCACTCATGTGATTGGCTTAGAATGGGGAGGCTGTGGCGCAGTGCACTAGTGCGTTAGTGTTCGGAACAGGTTCAAACCCCGCTGCACTCAGCCTGTCGTTTTGTCCCTGGGCAAGACACTTCACCCCAAATTGCTCCTGTGGGGATTGTCCACAGTATTGAGTATGTAAGTCGCTTTGGATAAAAGCGTCAAACAAGTAACATGTCATGTAATGGAGGAGACATCTGATTGGCTATAGATAGAACAAATTACAAGTACGAATCGGGTCACCGTCAAGGGAGTCTCAAAAAACCCACACACGAATGCACAGCGATCCATGCACAGAAAGCGGGTTGTGTTTGCAGGTGCAGCAGTTTTAAACGGAAAACAAATATGTGTGGATCAAAAATACATATGTAAAACTTTTTTCTGTATTTGGATTTTATTTACATGTATATCAAACGGAACACATGCTACACAACCCTCTGAACAACACAACCCTCTGATGCGTGTGTTGGTAGCTTGGCACGCTACTTCCCTGGAACCGTTGCTGCTTCCAGTGTTTCCTCCTGAAGTCTTTGATCACTACCCAGTCGCCGGGCTTGAAGTGGTGTTGTGGCGCATCAGCTGGCGTCTGCAGTACGGCTTTCACCTGAGAGTAGATAGCTGAGAGGGAGACTGAAAGACTTATACAGTAGTTCAACAAAAGGTAACTTAAATTGTCTCAACTTTCAGAAACTAACATTACATTAACAGAATAATATTCTTTAAATCTGCGCCAGTTCGTCTTGTGCCTTGGGCCATCAAGAGAGCCAGCTTTTCACGGCAAAAAATATTTGTAGCTGCTTTCACTATGATGACATGCTATTCTCTTTTTATTAACCAGTAAAATAGATCTTTACAGGATCAGAATATTTTGAATATTATTAATCTTTATGGCTTTGTAAGATTATATGTCTCTATTTAACACAATGGACATGATTATCACACTTGTTTCAGTCTTAAATCTGTATTGTCACTGTGCTTTTTAATATGGTCATATCAATAAAGTTAGTATTTCCTGATATTCTTCTTTTTGTTTTATATATAAAATGATGTGTGACTTCCTCAAATGATGTGTGACTTCCTCAAAAATATAAAGCATTTAGAAATTCAAACCAGCAACCACACTTTCCCCAGTCACATACTTCAGGATACTTGCTGCAGAGCTGACCTTCTAGGAAAGAGTTGGCATTCCCATGAGCAATGGAGACAATCTATGACAATGCTGTTGATGTCAAAACCCTAAGCTCAAGATCATCAACAATACAAGAAGGTAAGAGTGTCTGTTAGAGTGCACTGTGGATTTTGGATTTACTGTATTACTCCCTGGTCTTCTCTGTGTTCAGGTCCCAGGAGACTTCTCAGAGCGTCTGTTCTCGGTCTGGGGCTGCTGAGTGTTTTCCTGCTGGCTGGACTGATCGGCCTCGCTGTCCACTGTGAGTCTTTCTTTTAATACGTTTAATAATGTCATTTTGAACGTGTGATTTTAAGGAGCAATATTCTGCTCTGAAAGATGCACATTTGACCAAAACATCTATAGTTTTTCTACTTTTCTCTTAAGGCCAAATTAGGAAAACATTGACTTTGGTTTGTGTCAGTATGATTGCATCAGGTAATTTAAGAAACATCTATTTTCATTCCAGACCATAACTCAGTAGGTGGTGCAGCTGCAGACCTGTCCTCAGTGACTGAAGAGAGAGACACACTGAAGGTCAGCCTCACTGAAAAGACCAGAGAGGTGGAGTGTTTGAGTGAGTGCTTCATGTGGGGGTTTGCATAGGGCTCGGTATGTGTGTGTAAGATATCAATTATCATAATATGTTTTACAAAATACCTCAATATTGATATTCTAAGGCTGATCCTTTCATAAAATAGTTACACAATGACACTTTTCATTAATGATAATCAAGAATTAGTTTGTAATGACTTAGTTGTGAGTGATTTAATTTATAGTTTGTTTTATTTTTCTTCACCCACCATATTTATATTTCTCTGTAAACTATGCTTATGGCCAGTTTCCTTGTCTAAATTACTTTTAATATAAGCAATAGGAAGAAGAACTTAGTGGTAGTTTGTTCCAGATATTTGCAGCATAATAATAATAATAATAATAATAATAATAATAATAATAATAATAATAATAATAATAATAATAATAATAATAATAATTTCCAGTCGGTCTAGTAACTAACACAGAGATTTTGCCACTGTCTGTGTTTAAGTGGATGTCTTTGAAGACTTTAATAAGATCAGTCTCAGTGCTGTGGTGCCTGTCTAGATCACATCGAAAGAGTTATTTAAATCCCAAAAAAAGAGAAGTAGATGTTTTGCAATGAAATGTGTGATCTCTTTTGATCCCACTAAAAATGCTTAATAAATATGTGTTTTCATTATTATTACAAAAGTGACATATAATGCACTCAAGAGTTCCATATTTCAGCAGTTAAAGCAGTAAATCTACAAGATCTTAAAACTTTTACAGAGAAAATGTGTCCTGAAGGATGGAGGAAGTTTGGTTGTTCCTGTTATCTCCTCTCTACTGAGACAGATACTTGGGAACAAAGCAGACAGCACTGCACAGCCGGAGGAGCAGATCTGGTGATCGTAGACAGTGAGGAAGAACAGGTAATGTGTGCTGCTTTAACACTTGTGATTGTATAACCCCCTGCTTTTATCAATCAATAATGTTTTTATTGTACATATACTAGCAAATGTGTCTATCAGGTATAATGATTACATCACAACAATGGTGTTGATTACATATTTCTGAGCTAGTAAAAAGGGAAAAGTTATCTGAATGTTGATGTCCATCCCAGTAAACTGCATTTTTAATATGTGAACAGGAATTCATCACTAGCATGATCAAGGAACAAACTTGGATTGGTTTGAGTGACAGAGAAGAGGAGGGGACCTGGACATGGGTGGATGGATCTCCACTGACTCTGACGTAAGGCTTTACTTTGGTTTTAAATACAGACGCTGGTTTATGTTGTGACCTTTCTAAATGTTTCACATGTTTCTGTAATGGGAGTTAATACAACACACAGGATGCATTTAAACGTAGGGTGTCTGCCCCTTTCACCAGAAGATTCATTTAGGTGTTAAGAAAAGAACATGGCTGTATTACTTATAGTTATTTGTATTTGATGTCCAATATTTTAATTCATCTTCTTTTCCTGTAATACCTGTTAGGCTTTGGAGCCCAGCACAGCCTGATAATTTTGACGAAGAGGACTGTGCAGAAATACGGAGTATTGTTCACTCCCAAAGCTGGAACGACAAGCCCTGTAAGATCGATCTGCATTGGATCTGTGAGAAAGAAGCTTAACATTGGTGTCTGTTTGGATACCAAACATGCAATCATGCTTTTACAATTTATTTTAAATTGAGTTATTTAAAACTATTCAAAATGCCTCATTTCATGAATAAGAATTGCGTTTCATGACTCGATAAATCACAATTATTTTTTTCTGATAATATATATATAATATCAGCAATAAATAAATAGTAATTTAATTTGTTTTTGCCAAACTTTTATTTGCCTCAATTAAATTAGTATTTGTATTAATCCTTTTACATATCAACATAAAAACAGCTTCTTAAAAACATCTGCTGATAAGCCCACAGTTCCTGAAAGCTATAATATTGAAGGTGCCTTATTGAGCAGAATATGATAAAAATAAGAAGAATAAAAACTGTCAAACATTATTGAATAAATCAGAAATATACAACAATACTAGTCTCAGCATTGGTCTAACTTGTTCAAATATGTAAAATAGCCTGTGTGTTTATACAGTATGTTTCCTAACAATGAGCTCTTGTGGCCATGTGACTACAAATCTATTGCAGGTATTTAACATTCATAGATACCAGCCACTTTGTACATACTGTAAGAACTAGTGCTGTCAATGAATACAAAAATGTATGTATGTTTATCACAATAATAATCTGGGAATTTAACTGCAGGATTTGCTCATGATTCATTAAAAAAGTAAACTGCCTTTTAGGATCAATACATTTAGAATATTATTATATTATTATTAACCAGTAAAATAGATCTTTACAGGAATATTTTGAATATTATTAATCTTTGTGGCTTTGTAAGATGATATGTCTCTATTTAACACAATGGACTTGATTATCTCACTTGTTTCAGTCTTAAATCTGTATTATCAATGTGCTTTGGCAATAGTGTGTTTTAAATGTGGTTATGTCAATAAAGCTTATTTGAATTTGTCTTGACTCTCAGCGTGAGAAAAAAACAAACATTTCCTTATATCTTTGAGATAGATGTATAGATAATTATCTGGTACAGTTGCTAGGACTACCTTTAGCACTTAAGAGGTGTGACGTATTGATGGTGTTTTGTTTTATCCTTTACGCTATTGCCATTTTCCCAGACATTAGACATCATATTTCAAACTATCTAGATGAAAATATTTGATAGGGCTGTTTTTAAGACCTTGCAGCTCTGGGTCTTAGCAGACCCTAGGATCCATGCTCAGTTCCATGCATTGAAAACATTGGACAGCTACCTTAGGTGCTTGGTAACACAAATGGAAGTCGCACTCTTTTTTCTCTTTTTCTGTTGTCACATGTGTTATCCTTATTTTCAGTTTACTTGTACAGGGTTGAGTATGGATACACTGTTGGAAAATACAAGAAAGGTGGTACAAATTATGTACAGAGGTTTAGAAGCTCTAAAATGTGCATTTTTGAGAAGTGATTGGAGAACTATGTGTAAAGGAGAGTTGTTACAACACAGAAAACACCAGAATTTAAACTATGAACATTAATATAATTTCACTAATAGTTAATGGCCTAAACAACCCAATTAAAAAAGTGCTTACACAACTGAAACATCAAGGTGGAGATATTGTATTTATGCAAGAAACACATCATCAACAGTACTGTGTGTGTGTGTGTGTGTGTGTGTGTGTGTGTGTGTGTGTGTGTGTGTGTGTGTGATTTTAAATGCGTTTGAATGCGTTTATTATATTCGATATTCCTGCCCCTATTTACTTGTTTTGAACACCACCAAGTTTTTACCAAGTTGTCATAAAAAGTCTGAATTCTGACTTCAATCTCAGAGTTATAAGATTCTAACCCCTAGATTCCACCGGGTCCGTCTGTGCCGCGTTACGGCTGCGCCGCGGTTTTGGTCCGGCCTCCTCCGGCGTCATACCCTACCAGGCGCGTTTCAGAAGCATTTCAGAAGCGGAGCGTCTTGCCTGCCGGCTCGCAGTTTTTGTTGATTTGGGCATATTTCCTGGACAGGCTACTTTGTACAGACAAAGTTAATAATAACTGTAATATTCCAGTTATAAACAACATGAATCAAAGATGTGTTGCTGTATTTTAGTGGAAAAAAATGCATTCATCATCATAATTATTCTATATATATAATTTACACAGTGCTAAACCGGAGGAGAACGCTGGCATTTCTCCTCCTACTTGAAAGACTACGGAGGGATAGGGTCTGCAAAATTAGTTTGTGTGTGTGTATATATATATAAATGCTATATATGCTGTGTACGTTCCACTTCCTGCCTGCCCGACCTTACGTTACGGCTGCGCCGCGACAAAAATAGTATTCGTTCCTAATTTTAGAGGAGCCCTGCGCCGAGCCGCTTCTGGGACGCTTCTGGGACGCTTCTGAGCCGTAACGCGCCGCGTGTGGTGGAATAGCACCCATTAGGTGCGTTCACACCGGAGTACTTTGGTGTACTTTTCCCACAATAGTTCATCAGAACTACGATATATTTGCGTTCACACCAAAAAGCCCCAGGAACTAAAGTAGCTCAACTTAGTTCGCGAGACTCGCTTTTCAGTCCCTGCCACAGAGCAGGGTCTTTCGTGAGAGAAAGTAGTTCGTACGTCTGATTGGCTGTGCGGAATGCAAACCACGCCCGTTTGACTCAGAATTTTTTGTTGTAAGCGGCCATTGTATTTCCTCGCTTCGCAGCACACACGAAGAGATTCCTTTTGTGAAAGCAGTTATTATAGCAACACTAAATAAATCAATTGGAGCGGTGGAGTGATGAGGATGAGGATGTGTCTGCGCTTCTGGCGATTGACTCGGAGGACGCGAAGCGCCACATTCAGAAGCTTCTACTGAATGCAGTTTCTGTGGATCTGCAAAGTTAGCAGACCTGGCAAAGTCATGTCGGGACGACTACCAAGGTAAAATAAAATACATGCACTGCACTGTTTTAATCTGCACAATACTGGTCTTAGATGTACTTTTATTTGCTCAGTAGATCGAGCTAGCCATGGTAGAACTTGCTAACGTTAGGTCCAAGCTGGCTAATAACATCTAGCTAGCTAGCTATTCTCATCCATGCCCGCTATGAACACGTTTTGACTTGTGAATAAGTGCAATGTTCTGTAATTTGCTTCACTAACTCATGGCACTAATCGTGTGTTTCAGGCGAGGTGTTTCTCTCAGGATTAGAAACTAGTTTTCCCCTCCGGGATAAAAAACGATAATATAACGTTAGCAATTAGCATGCTAGCTGGACCTCTGTGGCTACTGAGGTAAACAATAGATTGTAGTTGCTCTAATTTCAAGTAATTTGCAACATTCATTCTACATGTTAATGGTAAAAGCTTAAACAGTTGATTACCTGCATGCCACAAAGACTGATGTTCTAATATTTTTGCACATTTAAGTAGAAATGTAATTGAAATTCTATTTACTGCCTAAAACATTGTTCCTTGTATTATCCTAAATAGTTTGACCTTGTTTCCTCAGAAGGCTTCTCAGACTACATGGAGGATCCCTCAGAGAAATACAGTTTCCACGTTCAGTTCCCCCCCGCTGAGAGTAGGCAGCTCCACACCCTGTGCCCGGTCCATCCTGACCGCTGCTGCCATACTGCAGCAAACAGGAGGGAACGGAGGTGAAAACACACTTTATACATTTAGATATGTGGAGCACAAAGAAAAGCATTGCTAAAAAACATTTAGCAGCTAAACTGTGGATAACAAGTAAACCACATTGGTTTGTTATTCAATATTCAAAAGCTTTTTGAATCATTACATGTCACTTGTTAGACGCTTTTATCCAAAGCTTACATACTCAATACTGTGGGCAATCCCCACAGGAGCACTTTGGGGTGAAGTGTCTCAGGGACACAACGACATGCTGACTGCAGTGGGGTTTGAACCTGTGCTCCCCTGATCCGAACACCAATGCACTTACCCACTGCGCCACACACCTCCATCCTTTACTCAAGTAGAAGTACAGATACTCGTGTTTGAAATACTCTGGTAAAACTTCTTAAGTAAAAGTAAAGAGGGCTTTGAAATGTACTTAAGTAAAAAGTACCCATAACTACCAGCTGTTTTAAAGAGTACCTGACCTCCCTTTATATTAATAGAACAATAATGTCATTGTTAGCTAATGAATGTTTCCATGCTGAACAACGGCAACATGACAACGTTTTCATTGGTCCCTCTTCTTTAGAGAAGACCAGGAAATGATGGATACACGGATCGTGTTCAAATCAATAGGCACGCAATGACTCTAAATAATAATGATCACGCCACCAAACACACATTCAAACTAAAGTAACCAGCCTGTTTGGAAAATGTAAGAAGTAGAAAGTACAGGTATTTGGGTTCAACATGTAAGAAGTAGAAAGTACAGGTATTAGTGTTCAACATGTAAGAAGTAGAAAGTACAGGTATTTGTGTTCAAAATGTAAGAAGTAGAAAGTACAGGTATTTGGGTTCAACATGTAAGAAGTAGAAAGTACAGGTATTTGTGTTCAAAATGTAAGAAGTAGAAAGTACAGGTATTTGTGTTCAAAATGTAAGAAGTAGAAGTAAAAAGTGATCAGAAAAATAAGTAGTGGAATGTACTTAAGTACAGTAACGAGGTATTTGTACTCCGCTACTTCCTACCTCTGACCAACGTGTATCTCTATATTCAGAGCACCCAGTATAAGACGGTGGAGCGGGTGGTGCAGACTCTGAAGAACCTGTGCTGTGCTCTGGACGAGACGGAGACCCAGGCCATCACTGAGGCCGTCAAAAGGCTGAAACACTCCGTCAACTTACCCCAGACACGCTCCCCCAAGGTGGGCTAACACTCTGCTTCACACGTTTATACAGAGCGTTGTTTACATGTTAGGAAGTGTTTGTAAGATCAACTTGTTTTGCTTTGCAGATGGGGTCCACATCGTCTGGTCAATCGTCAAATGGTACGTACACACAGTCACACTCCACCTCCACTTATTTAATTTAAATGTGATTGTTGCAGCTTATCATGTCAATGTGGTGCAAAGATGCATTACAGACAGAAATAACTTTTAAATAAAGTCACTGTCAAGTGTCTAAGGCTATTTAAAGACTATGTGGCTTATTCTATTACGGTATGAATCATTCAAAGCTTCATAGCATCATTAATGCTTGCATTAAAATTGTA